ATTCGTCATTTTCTATCATTAATAGCGCGTTATTAAGCAATGGCACCGCTTATATATTAAAAGGACCCGTCTAAAGTACAAAACAACGTTTAGTGGCCTCAAAATCATAACGCAACCGTAGCAAATGAAACTGTGAATCAAACAGCTGAGCTCTCATCATGAGCAGACATGTCGTAGGTCTACAGTAATAGGGGAAATAATGACGGATCGACCTACATGTGCTAGAATTTATTAAAATAAAGAAGCTTTTGGTGCGACTACAATATTTCAGTATAAAAACCATGCCGATAGACGTATATAGTATCAGGAGTAGATATAGGGACCCATTCCTATTATCTACTCCTGATAGTATCAAGAGCATATAAAGAATATTACCTTCTTTATATGCTCTCTGATAGTATTCTACACACACACAATAATATATATATATGTATCTATTAATATATATATATATATATATATATATATATATATAATATATAATATAATTATATATTATATATATATATATATAATTAATATATATATATATATATATATATATGTGTGTGTATATGTGTGTGTGTGTGTGTGTGTGTGTGTGTGTGTGTGTGCGTGCGTGCGTGCGTGCGTGCGTGCGTGCTTTGCGTGCGTGCGTGCATTATGATTATTGTGTATAGTACGTATATACATGTAGTAAATTATAGGATAAGTTTATCTGCGATAGATCCATATACATAGTTATAATATGCCTGAGTTCTGATAACTGAAGATGTATATTGATAACAGTTGGAATCGTTGTACTGTTTGTTACTGTATGTTGTTGTATGCGCAATAACTGTATAATAACAATATGAACAACAGTATATCATGTTGAATATAATGATAGAATATAATCTATTATCTATTTCATTCCTTGGATAATAATTATTTTATTATAAGCTTATTAGTGCTATATGCGAACCAAGTGGCAGCCATCAGTTCGTGACAGTCCATTTTAAAATATTAACATAATCTCGGCCACAGTATATGACAGAAGGTTCATGTTACGCAGTGGCTGGAGCGTACGCCAGCCGTCGGTCGTTCAAGGCCCTTTTTGGTTTGGTTAGGGCGTTAGGCGTTAGGTTACGGATTAGGGGTTAGGTTTAGGGTTATGGTTATGGTTAGGTTTAGGGTTAGGGTTAGGGTTCTTGCCTCATCTAAACTCTCAAATCGTGAATTTATTTCCAAGGCGTTATTTCGAAATCTGGCGCGACCGCCGCATCTTGTTCTCGTTAAGTATGAAAGCGAATGGACTGGCGTACCCGTAGCCTCGAGACATTAAGATACGCCTGGCGTAGCCGTAGCCACTGCCTTCATGTTTAACGCTCAGAAGTCCATAGTTTCAATACAAGGGAAGGTGAGATGTCTATTTTTAAACACGAGGGTGGAAAGCAGTGGAAAAACTCTTTTTACTTATACTGCAATTGAAGCTTGGAACTCTCTACCACAGCAAGTTAGGACAAATTCTTTTATTCTAGTTTTAAGTATATGTTAAGAAATGTCTGATGGAAAAGGTAGAAACATTAAGGCCCGCTCAGGTCGGTCTACGATTTACTATCGGCGACTACTTTTAGCGCCGATTAGCAGGCGTAGCAACACTCATGTCGGACTTGAAGTGACTACGCTGCACATCGGCGCATCACATCGTAGCGTTCCTGCATGAACGTAGACGGGCTCGCGGCCCCAGTATTTGTACTAGCACAAGCAGTTCTTTAGCACAAACAGAGCAAGCTTGACGCCTGGAACCAGTCTACATCAAATTCAGTCCGTACGTGACCAACAAAATGGCGCTTACCAGTAAACATCATGTAACTTTCGTAAATCTATTCTCAATTTCTGAACATCGTTTATAATCATGTGGCAGAATTTTTTTTATGTGCATATACGGAAAACTTAATATATTTGAGAAAAGGGTTGTTGCAATAATCCCTCCTTTAAAACTGCTGACGAGTGCGTGGGATTTTGCACAAGGGAGACATTACTGCCCTGCACCGGCCATATTGAATTAATGACGAATCTGCGGGGTCCTACTAAACAGCGAAAATGTGCTACTAAACAGCAAAATGTGCAGGAATGTGTGGCGCCCAATGTATAAAAAATGTGTAAAAAATGTTATACTAAACAGCGAAATGTGCTACTAAACAAGCGGAATGTGCGCGGAATGGGGTAAGAATGTGGGCGCAATGTGCATCAATAACTGCCGCCCAATGTATCAAAATGGGTAAAAAAATGTTATACTAAAACCCGGAATGTGCTACTAAACAGGCGAAATGTGATACCTAAACAGCGGAATGTGCGCGGAATGGTAAGAATGTGGCGCAATGCAGATAATTCTATAACAACTATTTCATTAGGTGCAATATTGACTTGTCATTTGTTGATTAAACCTCGTTCCTAACAATCAATGTTTTTTAAGCTCGTTCCTGACAAAGTTTATGGAATTCCTGGAACGAGGTTGGGAGGAATGTCTCCCCGGCGACCAAGCTAGTGGCGTGTAGCGCTGCCATTTTTATTAATCACGTGACTTTGATAATCATTTTGCACTCGACACGCTGCGGTGATTGGCTGCCATCACGATTCGTCGCCGACCAGCCGCATAGAAATAGAACATGTTCTATTCTCTGCGATCGCAGTCGGCGACCGTATTTTCGATCGTAAGAGGACTCATGTCGAGTTTGGTCGCCGATGTTTTTATCGGCCGATCTGGGCCGTTTCTTTGACGTACGATATTCAATCTTGTCGGCGACTAGGTCGTAAGGCCGACATAAGCGGGCCTTTAGAGGCAGAGGCGTATGATTTTCGCCTAAAAGAATTCGGTGGAAATTAGGCATAAGGAAAAGTTTGTATCGTCTTATGAGAATGTACCATTGCTTATGACCGGGTTATTAAAAACTGGACAATTTGTATATTTCAATAGTTAGCTGGCTGATAGTAGTATAGCTCCAAGAAACGCGTATTGCTGGGTTACAACAGGCCCGTAGCCAGGGGGGTTCGGGGGGTTCGAAAGAACCCCCCCCCGAAGCCCCCCCCCACCCCCCAAGCAAAAAAATATAATTTTGAAAATTTTGCCAAGATTTCACCTCAGTCGCTCCATTTTAGTGTAATAATTGCAAAATCTCCATGCGTGCGGGAGGGTGAACAGTGAACACCCCCCTCCCACACCCTCCCCCCGCTCGGTCGCCCTTGGCTCTCTCGCCTGGTCGCTTCGCGCCGAGGCAGGGCGGTGTACAGGGGGGCGTCCAGGGAGTCCGGACCTCCCCTTGCTCGGCGCAGAAAACGCATCTGAGGGGGTCTAATTTTTAAAAAAAATTTCTGGGGGAGTGCCCCCAGACCCCCCTTCGCTGTCCTCGCTTACCTTTGGGTTACGGTTAGACCCCCCCTGCGTACAAATCCTGTAATGTAACCTGATATGTAACGACGTTTCGTGACCGGTATTAGGAAATATCTCTATATTCTTTTTTGCACTTTAGCCTAAAGCGTGTACGTGAGACTGTTGTAATCTAATAACATGACCGATTCAGAGCTCGCTATAGTAGTCTGTACCCATATGTTTCGCTAACCACACCAAGCTAGATCTAACCAGTGGGCCGTGGCCCCCGCGTGACCCTATGACGTCAGTTGTTGTCGTATCGCACGTTGTTGATACGCAGAGACGCACTACCAAGCAGGCGGTGATATTATATCAGATATATACGTGCGCGCGCGTGTGTGCGTTGCTGTGTGGGGGCCGCCTTCGTGTGCGCTTAGCCCTGTAAACCCGATCTTCCACATTTTCTCCATCACTTCTTTTTACACGTTTTAGGAGGCAGTGAAGGCGTGACTGAGCACAGCCAACCAACCACGCAATGTCCGCCGGAACTCTCCGTACAGGTCCGCCCTCCATCATCGGAAGCGGATCGGCTAGTGTCTTTCGCTCTTCCGGCAAGAGCAAGACAGCCGCCATTAACAGACAGCGCAAGAAAAGCCTGCCCGAGGAATGGTGGTGGGAGTTTGAAGGAGAAGCGCGTCTGTGCTTCACTAGCAACGCCTCGTCCTTCCAAGGCGACCTGACGAACGACGCCAGCGATGATCTATTCGGCATAGAGGGCAGCACCGTGAGTACCGAGGGCCGCTTAGCCGTAGAGATGAAAGTGGTGGATTACGATGTGGTGCGAGTTCATTCGCTGACGAACGTTGCTATGACGATGCACGGCGGAAGATGCGAGCTGAAGAGCGATACCGTCAGCTTCACCACGGAGAGGATGCTGACCGGGGAACACGCAGACATGTTCATCAGACAGAATTTCTCGCACAATCTGGTCGGACAGCAACGCTTCGTTTGCATTGGCAATATGCGGCTGACGATTAAGAAGACGAAGGCGGAAGAACTGTGCTATTGCCCGACGAATTATATTTTGTAGTCGCTGTTGCGTGCACTAACACTTATATTAAATATCAAATTTACATCGCCTATGTAAACTAATTGAATATGTATGACAATGTACGACTTGTATAACTGTTGTAATGAATGTAACTATTGTTGTGTATGTTAGGCATATATATTGCAGAGATTTTCTAAAGCTACTAAGCATTTATATATAACGGATATTAATAAAAAAGTATTAACGGTCTTTAATTGATTTTATCATTGTGTTAATTATGCCAATGACCAGAAACTCCAAGCAGTTGGGAAATTAAGAACAAGATTCGTGCCATTGAATAGTGCATATCTATGACTATGTATAGTGTGAGACACCTGAATTTTGTACATCTATTAAAGTTTCTACGTCACACGAACAATATTATTACAATTAACATCGTTTCCGATACCAGATGATAGCGTGATGTTTGGAATATCTAAACATAGATATATAAATTCTCTAATATGCTTACGATAATGAAAGCAATATATTTATTTACTCGTTTATTTTTTCTAGCAAACTTTAAACGTTAGCGTCGTATATATCAAAGACCAATGCCGCTGGGAAACTACCGCGTACAATAATAACACATCTTGCAAGATTATTGCACATGTAACCACTTCTGGGGGGATAGTTGACGCTATGGGCCAATTCGATTATGCTATGCAGGGCCGTAGGCTGATCAAATTCCTAGGGGGGAGGGGCAAAATTTTATGACTCGACTGTGTAATGATGAGCGACGGGCGCAGCTCGTGATCGACGTCCATAGTGTGGTAGGGATGGGTCTGAGATAAGGCTTTCACGGGTAAGTGACCAAAAAAATCACGTTAGGGTTATTTACGATTATTAGCCAAGCTTATTTTTTAATTTTGCTTTAAAATCTAGGGGGTAGCTGCCCCCTTGCCCCCACAGGCTACGGCCCTGCTATGAACTGGCGTAGCTACCCACAGTGACGAGTTTTCATTTCCTTTATGTAATTCGGGATAACGGCCCAGCAATGATCTGATCATTCAATATAGCCCTTCAGTATAGCCATGCAGGTAAGGAAATTACTAGAGGTACCGATTCATCAGACACATCGGTAAAAGGCACAGGTATATAGCGGCAAAGCGGCGCAGATTTAGGCCAGGTTGCCTGCGGAAAAACATCGATATTAGAATTGAAATGTGTCACTTATCTGTTGGGTGGATATAGATAAACGAAATGTGCATAAAATATGAGGTCCAAGCGCCAATGAACTAATATTACTTATTTTTCGACACAATTCGATAACACAGCTACAGATAATGATAAATAAACGTTGATATAGTCTTGATTCGGGCAAAGACGGACTAGAATAACGGAGAATAACCTAGAAAATAGTACGTACATCCACGATTTCTTTTCCCGTTTCTCTTCGTCCTTTCGCACGCCAGGGCCCAACTATTAGATGCACCCTGGGGTACGTGTCACCATTTCTCAGTCGCGCAAAATACCAGCTGTCAACTCTGGTTCTGACTGTATTCTAGTATAATTCACCTATCTGTCAGTTTCGTCGCGCGAGTACAAAAACTTGCGATAGTAACAGCGGGGGTACGAATGCCTTCGGCAGTGGGTCAGGGTTTGAGTTGCCAGACTTTCGATGAGAAAACACAAAGGAGAGTGAAAAAACCGTTTATCTTGTGCTCCCGGAGCGAACTCTACTTCATACTTAATTGAATGCTCCTGGAGAGAACTCTACTTCATACTTAATTGAATATTTAATGTTGGCAACTTTTATGATAGAAATCCGAGAGAATTTGGCATATTAAAAACAAATCAAAATGTATATTCGATATGTGATATTAAGGGATGGATTCTACCCCTTCCCCCCAACACTGCCCTCGTTAAAGAAATCGCCAGTAACCTCAGGCTACAATCAGGCGTTTGGTACAGAACGCCATTTTTCCGTCCAGAATGAATGACAGAGCACCATTTTATTGCCAAAAATTAATGCTTTAAAAAAAGGCCGTGGCTACGCGTCCGGTTACCAGACGCCCAGCTCCCTGGTTACGCGTCCGATCATATATTTCTTATGTGAACACAATTAAGTTACACAACTATATTTTTTCAGTAAAAAACAATAAACAATTTACTAAGTTTTTACCATAATATTACTTACCAAGTAAGTATTAAGTTTTTAGTAATTATCAAAACAATGTGTTTTTGTAACTTTTGAAGCAATAGTAAATCCAGTAAAATCAACTATTTGAAAGGGGGCGTGGCCTAATCGTGACGTGGTTTGGGTATCTGTGCTGAGCTTTGTAATGGATGACCAGACACGTAGCCACTGCGTTAAAAAATCTGACGACGGTTTACAGATGCCCAATCCTGCAGTCTCGTTAGTCATTGACATTCCACGCCAATTAATAACATTTCCTCCTTCACATCTGGTAGTCAGGAGACTTTCACTCAGCAATGCGCTCTTATTATTCACTGGTTATACTAATAATCGAATAAAACTCTAAACGGTCTTTGGTGATACTAAATAAAGGCGCAATAATAGTATTAATACGGCGTGAAATGTATCATCACACCGCCACAAAGACCTAATAAATATTACATACAAAAGGTCATATCTATAAACCATAGAGCAGTAAGGCCACAATTAAAAAAAACTTTGTTTGCCCTCACCCGATCCAGGCTGAAAAGTTTGGGTAGGTAGGTAGACTTGTTTTCTTTTTTTGAGGTGGGTCTCTTTACAAATTCAGCATGGTGTCTACATGGTCAGATGTGCTTGCGTGGAGATACCTTTTATGTTAAATGTTTGTTGTGCTTGGTACATGATATAATGTATTGCTTACATATTTATATAATGTACAGTGAAAATTTGTAAAAAAAAAGAATGGGAAAGATCAATAAAATGTTTTGAGTAGGCCCGTTTTTGGCAGGTCGGTCAGGTGAGGGCAAACAAACAATATTTTTATTATGGACTAAGACAAACACCCTATTCTTAGCTTCACATTTTGAAAATGTTATAATACAAATAGGGCCTAGATGTTTATCATGGTATAAAAAACATTGGCTTCATATTTGAGGAATTATATAATAGATGTACGTATATTTATCACAGATCAGTACGCTTATTTGAAACATGACCACCTGCAATTTATATGCACGAGGCACATGCAACATACATTGTTATAGCATATAAAGGAGAAGGCAGGTCACATGAAAAACTTAGTAATTAGTTGCATGGGAGGGGGCAGTAATAGGTTTACATCATTAAACCACATTAGCAACCTGAGATAGCCTGAATAATCTATTCATGGATGAATGAGGAAGCAGACCTCGTTCTATGTTTATTTTAGAATATTAGGCTCTGAGATTGTAGAGCCAGTTCTAGCAGAGATGTGATATTTAATACAAGATGAAACGTAAGAGAAAAATATAAAAACAAGATTACGATATGTTATTACAAAGCCGACTGTTGTATTCAGTATATGCGTGGTCAAGATATATGCACAGATAACAGAAAATGAAGGATTCTGGTAAACAATACAGGTCAGTAAATGTAATACTAGACACACCTGCTGGTGTTCAGAGACCAAAATTTGTCCATTTTATACGCACTAATAGACAAGTAATTGTTTGCAGATACTTACTACTGCATACAATGTGCCACGTTTTATATGTGAGATACTTTACTTCTTTAAAATACAAACTTATTCGAGTTGTATTGAAGGGGTAACCACCATAGATAAATATCATCTATATTAACATACGGTTTCCTACTCCAGATGTTTAATTCTCTCATGAATAATATTTTATGTTTTAGGTACCAATTGATGTTAATTTTGCAACCATCCTACTTTCTTTCTGTTTCTTCCTTTCTGCTTTTAGTCGTTTCTTCTCTTCACTCTCCTTCTCTGCCATGAGTTTCTACAAAATTAAATTAAGCAATACAGCATATTGAATGTTACAAATGACTAGACATCCAGTACTGCCAAAATGATTTTGTCCATACCAGTGAATTCAGGGGCCCGTTGTCAGAAAAAATTAGTCTTAACATTAACCTTAACATTAACTTTTTCTCTTAAAGCGTTGCCAGAAACTTCGTAAAGTTAAGAGAATTAAAAATTCTCGTAACTTTTCTCTTAACTTAAGAGATCCTAGACCCGCCCTTAACTTTAATATTAAGTTGAAAATAACACATTTACACTACGAATTACAATTATAGTGATATTATATTTTATAATAATGAATAAAATGTGTTTTTCTTGAAAAACACGTCAAAATCATTAATTATCTACCGCTAATAAAACAAGTGCCGCATAGCGACAGCGCTCATCTAACGTCTACTGCGGTGACTCTGTGGTGGAGTGGAGGGATTCTAGTAAACCCTGTTAGTCCCAAATGTGTTCACATACACGCCGAAACAGTGGAATGCACAGGGATGGTATCAGGAACCTTCTGGAACCTCAAAGGAATGTTTGTTGGGATCGTTA